AATTTGCATCCGTGATCGGCTCTGCTGGTATGGAACAGCTTATGGGATTTGGCTTTGAGTTCTGCCTTGCCCATCTGCATTGATTTAAAACTAGCTGTGAGTCTGAGGTGCTGCTATTTATAGATATTGCCAATCCCAGCATTAGCGGCCGAGAGTTGTTACGGTTTTGTCACCTCAGGAAAATGTCACCTGCCACTATGGTAGTTCCAACCCTGAAAAATTGAGTGCATAATGGCTTTTTAAATTTATGTATATTTGCATACTGTTGACATCTTGTGCAAGTCCAGTATCTTCGCTTCCGTTTGCTGAGATTCCATAATTTGAGGTCTTGAGTAATTTCCTGCTTGCTCAGCTGCCTTGGTCCTCTTGGTCTCCTCTGCTGCTTTTTAATCCAGTTGTCAATTGATTCTTAATTGATTATTGTTTTGGCAAAGGGGAGAAGTGTGGTACGACTGCCTGGAGGTTAGAAATCTGCTGCCGATGTGCCACTGCCTGCCTGCCTGCCCGCGGGAGACTGGTACGAAGGAGCCCCCGAAGGTCTGCCTTGCTGCCTGCGCCGCTTCCACAACGCGGCTTCTGCGGCAGATTTAGCCTGTGCTGAAGCAGTCTTTGGCCGGGCTTCCCAAAAGAGATGTTTCGGAGCTATCTGGTTCTAATCCCTGGGAAGACAAATGTCTTATTCTAAGTAGTAATCGCAGAGTCTTTGTTTATTTGTTTGTTTCCTGTTTATGGAAACTTTCCTTGGAGGAGAAATTGCCAGCAGTCATACCCGGGTACTTTGTTTGCCTCTTTCAGGGATCAAGGAGCCTCTTGCCTGGCGTCTTAGCTGTCCTGTGCAGGCCCTTTGCTCAGTAGTCTCCGAGATGACGTGGTAATGCTTCCAACAGCAGGAGCATAAACAGGTTTAGGGGTATGACTCTCCTAGCCCTGACATGACTTCACTGCTGGTTCTTTATTTGCAGCTGCTTATCACGGTAGCGACTTATTTGCATACTGGCTCCAGCAGTCATGACCTTATTCTATTCACCCATGGGTCTTCACAGAGATTTTTTTAAAAAGAATGCATTCACCTTACGTAATTCTTGAATGTTTTTAGGTCTGTAAGACCTGTGTGGTTACTGTGGCATTCATGTGCTTTTATAGTTTAACGTTTACAGGGTTTTTCACATCTTAAGGCAACAAAGCATTTTTCTCTTTATAATTTATCCCAGGGTGCAGAATTTGCTCTCACTTAGCATGTTTTCAGCTCTATTTTAACATGCTATTTTAAAAGCTCTTGTTAAGCATGTGTTGGGCCTGTATTACTAGTTTCTATTTTTTTCTAATTTTCTGATTATTTTCTAAAATATTTTCTAATACATTTGAGGAGGTGATAGTATCCTTGCTGGTGTTTAATTTTGCCATATGGGGTTAGGACTAGCATACACCAAGAGGCGTGGCTATAACTGATGCTAAGCTTTGCCTTTTTCCAGCCTTCTTCTTATGAAAATCTGATTTGGGAGACTTTTTTTCAGCAGTATGTTTGCAGCTTCATGTTTTGGAAAGATACTTAAAATCCATTACAGCTGTCTCACGCAGAGGTGAAAGGAAGGATTTTTGTTTCAAGTTCTTTTGGGAACCTGAAAATGGAATTGCTTGTTTAGCTCCGGGCTGCAGTTTAGGCATTTTATCTGGAAGTTATTAGGAAAAAAAAATCTCCAGGAGAATTTGCTGCTATTGTTGCCGGCCTGTGTAGCTGCTTGGTAGTAACAACAGCGATAATATTCAGATTAAGGGCCACTTATTTGGGCTGTTCTGGCTTGTAGAAACATGAAAATGTACAGGGAAAGA